AATTCACCTGGGTTATGCTGTACTTAATTTTTTTTCCTGCAAATTTCCAGCCAATATCTCAATGTCTGAAATTTGTTCTTCTCTGAGAACTCTGCCTCATACCTGGAAAGCAAGATTCAAGATTTCTCGTTTCCTCCATAGAGAATATTTCCCCAGCTACTTCAGGGACACGCTTTCCTGGGCTTCATTTCTGTGAACTATATGGACTCTCATAAAACGGACTGAACTTATTTTTGCTGTGCACTTCTCTGTAAAAATTCCATTTCGATGCATCACGTCTAGCCTCCTTTGTTACACTTATTAGCACCACGGTGTCCAATCCTGGCTCAGAGGGCAGAGGCACACACAGGATCTGAAATGTCCATCAGCAAAGTTCAGGCCTCTCCCTGGGAGACTGGCTTAGCGGCCAATCCAAGTCTTTAACAGGAATCTGGGAGTTAAGAGCCCTTTTAAGCCTCATCTGGATCTATTTTTCCCAAAGTAGCACAGGCCTCTCTTTGGTATTTTACCAAACGTGGCTTTTCGCCCTAAGTGCAAGCAGGCGGTCTGCTGCCCTGTGGACTCATCCTGGAAACATTACGCTGGCACAGCAGCAGCGGCTGTAGCTGCAAGTTGAATGAAAAGCCAGGATCCTGCTCTGGGGAACTTCAAAGTGGGCACACCTGCTCCTATTGTTTCTCCCTTAAACCTAGTGGAGTCTCCAGGCAGATATTCCTCTGTCTCTGTCTTGCAAGAAGGCACAGCTGCTTTTGCTGCCCTTTGGTCTAAGTCTTCCACAACCTGAGGAAGGCGAGAGAGGCTGGGCGAGAAACTGGCTTCTGTCCTGGTCACGAGCACCCCCAAAGGGCTGGTGTGCGCCTGATCCTCCGGTCATGCTTTGACTCTGGGGATGGTGTCGGAGTTTCCATGAAATGGGAATGTTTCCTCTTGAAACTGCCCTGGCATAAGATTGTGTTGGCAATTAAATGAACAACCACCTTCAAAAGATGGCACCACCACAGTTAAAATGTTGTTATAGGAGAACTACAATTACATTGGGTTAGTGGGTTATAGACCTAAAAGGGAAGGTGAATCCAAAGCAAAAAGTGTCTGAGAAATGACAGCAGGTGGGGAGGTGGGCTGGCATGAGGAGGGTCAGGAGTGGCCTCAGGACACCATGTACCTCCCTGACTGCCCATCCGCCTATGGACTGTAAGAAACAACAAAGCTTTCTTAAATGACCTTAAATGCTGTATTCACTTGGCTCACAAGTTCTCATGTTTTTATCTTGTCTAGGTGAACACTGCCATGCCTACATACCATTTCCAATTTGAGGATTTTTTTGAAGAAGTACACTTGTGTTTTTTTGTTTTGTTTGTTTTCTTTTTCTAAAATAGACACATTGGCCCATTAAGGAGATTTTAATTGGTAGCTTTCTCTACCTGTTATTTTGTCAATGAATCATTATTTTTTTTAACTTATCCTTATTGTTAAAAGTATTACAGATCTCCCTCTTTTTATCCCATTGATCCTCTCTATCCTACACCCCTCTCAGGCCTTCACCACACTATTGTCTGTGTCCATGGGCTATGCATATATGCATATAAGTTCCCTGGGTTAATCCCCAGCCTTCCCTCTGGAATGCATCAGTCTGTGTCATGCTTCCATGTCTCTGGATCTGTCTTGTTCATCAGTGTATATTTAGTTAGCTAACAATTGGGTTATAATCATTACTTTTGTCCTAAAACAACAAATATTTGCTGAGCTTCTGCTAGGGCCACAATGCTAGGCACTCAGTGTGCACAAAATATGCACAAGCGAATCTCTGCTGATTCAAGAATCCAAATTGGCTGTGAAAACAGGATATATAAACAGAATGCTATGGAGCAATATGAGGGAGCAGTTATCAATTGTACAAATTACCAATGCTGAAAGATTTCCAGTGTTATAATGACCACCAAAAGTTGGTACATTCAAGGAAGACCTCTCAGATATCAAGCTTCAATCTGTATAAGCATGTATGATGTGTTTTTGTTTGGGAGCTGGAGTACAGATCAGAATAAAGTGGTGGCGGTAATAGTATGTGTGAGTTTGGTACATGAGTGTGTGAGTGAGATAAGAAGAGATTTAGGGTTGTATATGCCATGTTCTGCAATTTATCAGCTCATGTGTGGATAACAGCTCATCTGTGGGTATACTCAAAGAGTGGATGCCAAGAAATATTTCAAACTATAATATGGCTATAGCCAGTTTGGCTCAGTACATAGAGTATCAGCCTGCAAATGAAAGGGTCCCAGATTCAATTCCAGTCAAGAGAATGTACCTCAGTTTCAGGGTCCTCCCTGGCCCAGGCCCTGGTCGAGGTGCCTGCATGAAGCAACCAATCCAATTGATGTGTTTCTCTCACACTGATGTTTCCCTCTGTCTGTCCCTCTCTCTTTCACTCTCTCTCTAAAATCAATGGAATGATATCCTCAGGTGACAATTAAAAAAACAAACACAAAAACTATATTATGGAGAAAACATTGTCCTGAAAATGTTTGAGGGAATAATAGTTTATATGGTCAAATATATGATAAAATTATACAAACTAAACACCCCTTTTAAAAATGCAAAGCAGGAATACATATAAAATTTTTGGCATTCCAATCTACATCCTGGAGAGGAGATTTCATTTTCCCACTTCATAAAATTTGAGAGTACTGATACACAAAAATGCCCATTGTTTGTCTAGAATGAGTGAACATTCACCAGAAAGTAATGGAATATAATCAAATTCTTTTGAGGAGATGAAAAACATGCACCAAGCAGTGTTTTTCAAAAATTAATCTAGCGAGCCTTAAATTGTGGAAGAAAGGCTGGAACCAGGAGACTTTTCTGAATATTTGCTCTAAATCCATCCCATCATGACTAACAATGTGTTGGGAATTTTTGTTCGCTTGCTTTTCAAAAATTTTCTTTTTAGCTGTGGACTACATTCAGTTAAAAAAATTAAATTAAAAATTTTGGGGTGACAATATTTAATAAGATTATATAGGTTTCAAGTGTACAACTTGATAATTGACTAAAGAAAATGCAGTATATAGTAGGTTTGCAGTTGTGAGTATGGAAACAGAGTTCATTCTTGTAGTAGTATTTTAAAAATATTTTATTATTTTCCATATAAAAACTGCAATCCTACTTTTGCCAAAGCCTACGTATACTATGGACTACTTTCTTTAAATAAATATTATTCAAAATTCTAATGAGTAAAAATAACAATGAAGCTGATCTGGATAATGGAGACAAAACAGGGGTTCTACATAAGAGCTGCTTTGCAGTATGTGGTGCCAGAAGGAAATCCAGAATCTTCGCAAGGTGCAGAGGAAATACTTTTCAGCTTGCAGAAATGCTATCATGTCCACAAACTAAAGAGAACTGAAGTAATCGGAAAGTTAGTAAAACAGGATCTCCTGTAATTAAAAATAAACTCTGGGGCTAACCAAAGAAGGAACCCCTTTCTTTTAGGGATTAAAATGAAACAAAAGCCATTTTGGGTTTGGTTTAGTTCTTAATATTCTCTCTTGAGCCTCTAAGGTTCATGTCCTTCCCCATTTTTTATTTTTTTTATTTTCCTATTTTCTTGTTCTGCCACTTTACCTTTTGAAATTTTTTGCACGCTGCGAGAGATTCTAAAAGATGAAACAGACATCAAGAATTGGATAGGCAATAAACATAGAAAATGATGTGCATAGTATTGTTTTTGGTAGTTTGATTTTTGTTTGTTTTTGTCAAGGAAAATCAAGATTGTTGTGAAGAACATTCTCAAAATGAGAAACATTTCTGCAATGGAGTCGGATTTGACTATAGATAAGGTGAAATGAAGATGTTGGGTCTTGATCAGATAGACCTTTACACATAATGCTTCTTTCCTTCCACTAAGCAAGTATTTAGGAGTTCTAACTGTGAGGCAGAAAGAATGGCCATAATGGGAATAATGCTCCCACATTGGGCTTCCACAAACTCAGTCTGCAGTGAAATACAGACTGGGGGGGGGGAAAGGCATGCCTTAAATTATTAAATAATGTGACCGAACCCTCCCACATTCAGCTTAATTCAGGCCAACAGTTTCCATTTTATTCTTACTGAAACCTTCAAAAGAAATACCAGATTAAGAAGAATTAAGTCTCCCAGCTCTGACTTAAATCTAGGCATCCCATTCCTATAGTAATGAATTTAAACTATTTCTTTATATTTGTACACATTTTATTTCCCAGATAAGAGTCTCCTTCTAAGAAGCTTGAGCTCAGAAAAGTGGTAATCTATTCTGCTTGATCAGAAAACCCTACAATGATAAATAAACCCCATTTTACCTTAAAATTGTAAGCCAGATTTATTAACAACCTGAGAAAAACAATTAGGAAAACGTCACTGTAGTGGAAGAATATTTGAGAGCTTTAGGCTACTGAAAACAAATGGTATAAACACAGATGCTTCTACCTGTAAGTGAAGCAGTCACTACTTAAAACAACCCATCAATACCAAAACAATTTATCTGCAGTTTATTAAAGCTTTTATTTTTTATTAACAGTCACCTCTTTGGATTTTTTAAATATAAATATACAGATATATGCAGGTATTTGCCTTTTAACGTCTGTTATTTTGCAATTCACAACAAAATAATGATAATGCAAGGGTGTATAGGCACTATGATTCATCTAAGAGAAAATCCTGACTTTATTAAAAAGATAAGAAAACATTTTCAGAGGTCAAATCCTACTATAGAAAAAAATTTGTTTAACAAAAGACATTGAGCCACAGTTTATGTAATCGTTACACAGGGTATCTAACACAACATTCAAGAGCACAATAGGACATATAAATAGCCTCTCAAGATTCCTCAGTGAGATTTGCCCTTCATTTTGAGTCTCTTTATATCACAGCAAACTATACCCATCAAGAATCTCTTATTTTTCCTGTTAATCTCACCTTTACCAAGAAAATAAAGAAATAGAAACAGTATCAAAAGCTAGATCACTTACCATAAATGCCTGTTGAAATGCAGGGGAATGCCTGTGAATAAACCACAAAAAAATAGTGGTAAATTTTAAAGATACAGCTCTGCCCAATCCCAACACCATTTATTTCAAATTCTCTGTTGCTTGATAAAGGGATGCCCTCACAGACTCAAGGTTCTGACACCCCCTCAGTTCAGGTAGGAGACATGGAAACAGGCACATAGGTTCACTGAAAACTTTTTCTTACCACAGCATTCATCTCAGCTCACAAGAGCCAACTGTTCAATTTTCAGTAATCTTGTGTACCAATTGCTAAACACAGTTATTAATGAGAAATTAAATTACATAAACTGTTCATGAAATAAATTATATCCAAAAAAGACTCAGAAATCATCGCACCACTTCTTAATCTGGCACATTTTACTATTGCCCCTGCTCTTAAGATTACTATGCCCATCCTACGTGAATGGTGGAAGTACTAGGTAATGGTGTGCTACTGAGCATTGTGACCCTGTTCCCTATTAAGTGATATGCTGATGGTTTACAATCTGAAAATATCAATCAACTTTCATGTTGGACTATACTTTGTGGGTCAATTGAAATTATAGGTTGGCTATAGGTACAAAATTGTGATAAAATCTAATAAAAGTATTATTGAAGAATCAATAACTATACAAAATGTATAATTAAATGTATTACACATAATTTATTCTTATACTCATGTGATACACATTCTTTCTATCAGTAAAATTTAAAAAATAAAATTATATACACACATACTCATTTTTTAAGTCAGTTTTTAAACTTTTACTGGCACACCACTGTTTGTACCGTATGCTAGAGGCTAAATATTTTTCCAAATTAGGTTATAGGAGAGGAGCCTCATAGTGGGGTTAGTGCTTGTGTAGCATCCCAAGCTTTTCATCACATGATGGTACATATAATGTGAAGAAGGAAGTCTGCAAACCAGGAGCAGGAGACCCTCACCAAACACCAGATTGTCTGGCACCTTGATCTTGTACTTCCCAGCCTCTAGAACTGTGGGAAATAAATATCCCTTGTTTAAGCCAGGCTGTCTGTGGACAATTTTTAAGCAGCCCTCTAAATTAGACTTTCTAACAGTAGAATGTGACCTGAGCATGGCAAATTCCTCTGCCAGTGTACCTTTGTGTGAAGTTAATCAAGCTGTTTTCATCCTCTGGGCTTTCTATTTTCAACTGAAATTAAAGATGATAACATCCATTATATAGAAATGTGCTGTGGGAATTAATAACAAAATCTAATACTGCAGTTGCTGTTGACTGCAATAATCAGCATTATTATTGAGCTCCATAATAATGAAGCATCTGTTGTTGTTTTTTATATTTTTCAGTTACATATATACTACATTATATTTTCCTTAATATTTTTAGAGGATGTATGCTTATTCTCTTTTCATTGATGTTCTATTTTAAAAGACACAATGTGCATGATTTTGTTTTAGAGAGAATAATAATTGACTCAAGTTAACCTATATGACTGAAAAATTACAGGTTTTTTTTTTTCCTGTTTCTTTACTAGTACATACATATATTTCTATCAAGAAAATAAGATAGTGTCTGGAATGATGTGGGAGCTATTTTAAAATGAATTAAGGAGCTAATTCTTTGAGTCCTTGATTTCTTGAAGTGCCAATAAAATCTGAAGAATGATCTTGAATGACTCAATCCATTCAATGAATTAGAACCAGGAAAAGAGGGTATGAAGTGAATGCCCCTGAAAATGTTGATGTCTCTTTACAGGCATTCACCAGGACTATCAACAGGTTTTATTCTCAGTGAAAAATCACCTGCAAGCTACTGTAAGCAAATTGTTACTAACCATGAGTGTTCAGAGAAACAAAATAGCCTACTTAAAAATATAAAGTAGGGAGGAGTTAGGGTCATCTCTTGAATGTGTGCTAAGCTCACTCAGGTTCCAATGTGTCTTTTAAATGAAGTAGAGAGGTGAGTTTTGGAGCTCATGCTCAGGAATTTCATGGGAGGGAACTAAACACAAAAATATCACCCATCTTGTGCTTGCAGTACAGAAAGAGATAGGTCTCAGAACTGCTGCCTGGAGCCATCAAGTGAGAGTTAGAAGATACTACACTGTTCTCAGCAAGTGCACTTTCCCTCCCACCTGGGCATCCTTTCAGTTCATGAGTATGAGGGTCTATGGGAGAATTCAGATGAGGGAGCAATATGGAGTATCTGTCTGACATGTAATCTTGATTAATGTCAATTCCTATGGTGGACACGTGATGCCTGCCAGACTCCACTTCATGGTGGAATGTGTTGCCCTAGAGCAGTGTTTCCCAAAGTGTGGTATGCGTACCCCCAGGGGTACGGGAAGAGTTTGGTGGGGGTATGCATTGCACTGTGCTTAGCTGCGCCTAATTCTACATTCTCATGAGTATGAGGGGTACTCAACGTTACGAAAATTATAGAAGGGGTACACATATGTCAAAAGTTTGGGAAACACTGCCTAGAGCAAGGCTTCCCATCCTTGGCATAACTGATATTTTGGAACAGATAAGTATTTATGGTTGGAGGCTGTCTTGTGCTTTTTGAGATGTTTAGCAGCATCTTTAGACTCTATCCGTTTGGTGCCAGTAGCATGCCCCACTCATGACAAGCAAAAATATTTACAGACATTGTTAAATGTCCCCCAAGAGGCAAAGTCACCACAGATTGAGGACCACGTCCCTCTAATCTAGAGCCTAGACCCTAGCAGTGCCATCAGGGATGGCCTTTTCAAACATTTCCTGAGATTTAAAGGTCACTCAAGGTCATGTTCCTTCCCAAAACAATCCATCCCCAATAACTAATCAGTTCAGAAGATAAACGTTTTGGCTCATCTTGGCTCATTTCAGGGATGGGCCCTGCCTGCTTCCCTGTGCACACTCTTGCTTCCTCCCCTTCTCTTCTCCAGGTATGGATCCCGAGGGCACACCTTAATAACCATCCTGTACCCTAAACTGTCTCAGAATCGGCTTCTTGGGGAAATAACTTGAGTTAACTCCCTTCTACTTCCCTGTTAGGCTCAGTCTTATGAGTTGTTCTACCCTCAGACCTATCAGAAGAGAGCACACACTGAACAATTACTGGCAACTTTGCCTCAGCTCTTAGCTCTGTCTTGGAATCAATCATGCAACTTAAAAATTGAGTCTGAATGTACCAACTGCCTTGTCTATTTTAACAAGGAAAAATAGCTTCATCTGAAAATGACACTGTTGCCTTGAATGTGAAGGCAAACAGATGTTTAATGGAGGATAACGTTGGTAATAGTGTTGAATTAATTCAAACAAAAAAGCAGAGATGTAGCAGAGGTGGAAATACAATATCATGGAAAATGTTTTGTGTAAAACAACTTTACATATAATTTATTCAAACTAAATGTCCTTCATTAATCATTTGTTATTACTCAAGGGAGAAAGAGAGAAAGATTGAGGCTAAAAAAGAATGAGCAACTAAGCTCATTTTATGGCACACAGTCTGTGCTCTTGGTCATAATAGATTTCTGATGGAGCCACTAGGAGTGTGTAGCATGAGATTTCTTTATTTTAAAACTATACTTAGAACCTCCCACAAAAGTTCTCTCCTGCAGAAGAATGATAGATTGTACAAATACTCAGCCAGTTTTGCCTGTATTAAGTGTACAGATATTAGCAGTCACCTGTAGGACCTGGAGAATGACATCAGCAACTTAATTTATAAGGCTCTAGATTCTTCTTCTAGCAAGACCAAAAAGCAAACAGTCTCTGTACTAAGCGAGTCGGAGCATATAGCCATCAGAAACCTGCTTGGTAGAGCTTGGCTGTTATCCAATTTTCCCCAAAAATCAGTATGCATTTTCTCTCTTGGGGGGACAAAACATTTGACTTGAAGAGTGAAAGAGGATTTTTCTTTTGTGAAGTTACAGATTGGGAAAATGTTTCCTTATTCCAGCATGTGCATTCCAAGTAAAAACACAAATCCTTCAGGCTGTATACTATGTCTCCCATCCACTTTCATGCCTGTCTCCACTTATCCCATTTCAGTAATTTGAGGGCAAGGAAGGAAATATCCTTCAGCCTCTTTGTCTTGATCCTAACAGTTCCTCAAAACCAAGGCAATCCAACAGCATGGCCTTTACTTGTTTTTCTGTGACCCTGTATTCTAGGTCCATACATTCCTGCAAAGTGGGAATTTCTCCCTCTCTCCTCACCCATGGTCTTTACCATCCACCCATTGCTTATGCAGCAGATTTATGATCTGAGTAGGACTGACTCCAAGATCATAGGAAAGGTGCTGATTGACCTAAGTAAGCAACACACATTCCACTTAGCCACTAGAATAGAGAGATGGGGAATTCTGACATCACTGAGCTGTTGTTATAAACTAACTGTAAAGTGGTCCCAACTTCTAGAATCTTTCAATTGCTAAGCCAAAACTTCTTTGTTGTGTAGCCAGTTTTAGTTAAATCTTCCATTACTTAAAAGCAAAAGCATGATATCTATGTATATTTTATTTAAGTGGTTTTAATTATATATCACATTTCACTAAATTGAAGAAGCTGTTGATTGCTAAAACAAAAAACAAAACAAAAAAAAACACATTATTTTCTTGAAGTTTTATAAGTTAAATATAATAAATGTTTTCTTATCCTTTAGAATTTTTAGTGTGTCCTTACTAAAATTGATATTTTGGATTTACTCACATAATTTTTAAAGTCACATCTTACTGCATATATAAAAAGGAGATAAATTGGTTAAGTGTCCCTAAAAATTCCTCACATTCAGAGTGCAGTACTTCTGAATCCCATTTCAAAGCAGAATCATTGATCTAAATTTTCCAGAGTTCTATCCTGTGCTCTCAGGAATGGTAGTGATGGCCCAGTCCTTCAGGAATGCCTCACTTTTAACTCTGAACTTTTCTTCCAAGCCTCTAGCATGACCCTCTCTCTAAAGTTGAAGCTGATTACTTCTTCATTGTCAGTACATTTTTTTTTTTCTCAGACAGCACCCAAGACACACACCTCCTCCTCAAATGGCCC